TCATCCCAGCAAAATTAAATGATGTCACCATATGACCTGTTTTCATATAACTATTTTAACAATACACAGTACATTGTTGTCACTTCACAGTAAGTAAGATATTTAGATATAAACTAATTATACACACTAGTGTTTTTTTTTCACAGAAAGAAAAGAAGTAAGGAAATTGTTTTTCATTGTGACAGACAAACTACATAAAATTTTAACAAAACTTCACATTGTATTGTTAAGTCATCCCTGATATTTTATATCACTATATAAATTCAGCACTTACAATGTTTAACTATACAATATCACTTGAAAAATCTTACCTCATTCTAACCATACTTCCGACAGCAAACAAAAAGAAAAATTTAATTGTAAAAGATATAATGAACAAGCAATTATCATAGTATTGCAAGCAATCCATAAGTCCCCTACCGGTAAGAGCCCAAGCAACATTCTGAAGGGCCATTGGCCATTCACTTATGTTTCTATTTTAAGTAAATTTGTTGAAAAAGTTCTTTAAAAGTGATCACAGTGAACAGACAGACAGACAGACTGAAGGACAGTCTAAAGTTATTTTTTAAACATCCCTGTTACCAAAATATAACATTTTAAAAGCAAAATTTAAACAAGAGGGCCATGATGGCCCTGAGGTCGCTCACCTGTATATATATCACCCCCCAAACGTTGCACGGCCAATTTAACCAAAGGGCTTTTATTTGCACAAACTTGGTAGACACCCATAAGAAGATGTTTCATGCTAAACATCTAAGCTCTAGCTCATTGGGCTATTTAAAAGAAGATTTTTTTAAGTTTTTACTATACACATATAGTTAAAAACAATGACACCCCTGGGGCCGGGCCAGTTATGACCCCAGGGTTTTTATTTGAACAAACTTTGTAGACACTTACTAGAATATGTTTCATGCTTAATATCTAAACTCTAGCTATTTGGGTTTTTTCAAAGAAGATTTTAAGTTTTTGCTATACACATATAAGGAAAGTCAATGACCCCGGGGCGGGGCCAATTTTGACCCAAGGTCTTTTATTTGAACAAACTTTGTAGACACTCACTAAAAGATGTTTCATGCTTAATATCTTAACTCTAGCTATTTGGGTTTTTTTCAAAAAAGATTTTTTAAGTTTTTGCTTTACACATATAAAGAAAATCAATGACCCCCCGGGCGGGGCCAATTTTGACCCCAGGGCTTTTCTTTGAACAAACTTGGTAGACACCTATTAGAACATGTTTGATGCTAAATATCTTAACCATAGCTCTTTGAGTTCTTTAAAAGAAGATTTTTTAAGTTTTTACTATATGCATATATAGGGAAAATCAATGACCCCCCGGGGCGGGGTCAATTTTGACCCAAGGGCTTTTATTTGAACAAACTTGGTAGACACTTAAAAGAACATGTTTCATGCTAAATATCTTAGCTGTAACTCTTTTGGTTCTTTAAAAGAAGATTTTTAAGTTTTTACTATATGCATATAGGGAAAATCAATGACCCCCTGGGGCGGGGCCAATTTTGACCCCAGGACTTTTCTTTGAACAAACTTGGTAGACACCTATAAGAACATGTTTGATGCTCAATAACTTAGCCATAGCTTTTTGAGTTCTTTAAAAGAAGATTTTTTAAGTTTTTACTATATGCATATAGGGAAAATCAATGACCCCCCGGGGCGGGGCCAATTTCGACCCCAGGGCTTTTATTTGAACAAACTTGGTAGACACCTATTAGAACATGTTTGATGCTAAATATCTTAACCATAGCTCTTTGAGTTCTTTAAAAGAAGATTTTTTAAGTTTTTACTATATATGCATATATAGGGAAAATCAATGACCCCCCGGGGCGGGGTCAATTTTGACCCAAGGGCTTTTATTTGAACAAACTTGGTAGACACTTATTAGAACATGTTTCATGCTAAATATCTTAGCTGTAACTCTTTTGGTTCTTTAAAAGAAGATTTTTTAAGTTTTTTCTATATGCATATAGGGAAAATCAATGACCCCCTGGGGCGGGGCCAATTTTGACCCCAGGGCTTTTCTTTGAACAAACTTGGTAGACACCTATAAGAACATGTTTGATGCTCAATAACTTAGCTCTTTGAGTTCTTTAAAAGAAGATTTTTTAAGTTTTTACTATATGCATATAGGGAAAATCAATGACCCCCCGGGGCGGGGCCAATTTCGACTCCAGGGCTTTTATTTGAACAAACTTGGTAGACACTCACTAGAAGATGTTTCATGCCAAATATCTAAGCTCTAGCTCTTATGGTTTTTTAAAAGAAGATATTTAAAGTTTTTTCTTTCGGTTGCCATGGCAACCAGAGTTCTGCATGGAATTAAATTCTTTGAACAATTTTTAAAGGTGACCACCAAAGGAACATTCCTGTGAAGTTTGGATGAAATTGGCCTTGTGGTTTATGAGGAGATGTCATTTAAAGTAAAAGTTTACGGACGACGGACGCCGGACGCCGGACGAAAAGCGATCACAAAAGCTCACCCTGTCACTTTGTGACAGGTGAGCTAAAATAAAGGAGATAACGATGTCATACATGATGTGAGTGTAACAAAGAACAATTAGTAATGAAGGTATGAATATTGAATATTTATTTTGAAATTGAAGTAAATGAAAGTTAAAAGAACAAAATTAATAGGAAAAATTAAAAGTTTAAGGAGGAGATAATTCTGGAAATATGGATGCTAGATTTATAAACCTTGTCATATTATAATGATGTGGGAGTTTGAAGAAAATTCTATCATGAATGAAGAAGTTGGAGTAAAAATTACCAATTTCTCAAAAAAAAGTCTAAGTTCAAAAGGGGCATAATTCTGGAAATAGTCTTGCTAGAGTATTGAACACTCACAAATGTTGAGTGATAATAAGAAACATTTATATGAAGTTTGAAGTAGATACGTTCAGAAAAAAAGAAGTTATTAAAAAAAACAATGTTTTTTTTCATGAAAATTTTAAGTTCAAGGGAGGTAATTCTGATAAATTTTGTGCTAGAGTTGTAAACTTTGTCACATATGATGTGGTTGATGACTAGCAACTTATTTTTAAAGTTTGAAGAAAATACCTTAAGAAATAAAGAACTTATAGTGAAAAAACTTAAAAACTAGAATCAGAAATCTTGAAATTCAGTCTATTTGTTGCTATAGCAACCAGAATTTTCAACAAAGGAAGATAAGAAAAGGATGTGCATAATTTCCATACTGCCATCTACCCATATGTCAAGTTTCATAAAAATATTTTCAATACTTTTTGCGTTATCACTGGATCCAGGTTATGTGTAAAATCTGCCATATCTTCAGTCTATTTGTTGCCATAGCGACCAGAATTTACAGCATAGGAAAAAAAGAAAAAGACGTGCATAATCTCCATACTGCCATCTATCCATATATCAAGTTTCATAAAAAAAATTTCAGTACTTTTTGCGTTATCGCGGGATCCAGGTTATGTGTAAAATTTGCCATATTTTCAGTCTATTTGTTGCCATAGCAACCAGAATTTTCAACATAGGAAGAAAAGAAAAAGACGTGCATAATCTCCATACTGCCATCTATCCATATACCAAGTTTCATTAAAATATTTTCTGTACTTTTTGTGTTATCGCGGGATCCAGTTTTGTGGACGGACGGACTGACGTACCAAAATTTGATGTTTATGAGGCAAATGAGCTCATAAACACCACCTGGACCAACGTCCATAAGCAAAATAAGCTCATAAAAACAAAAAATAGCTCTTAATTTTAAATTTTATGAGTTTATGTTCTTTATTTAACTACGGAATGAAGCTCATAATAATCAAATGTTGGCTCGGACAGACGGATGGACGGACAGACAGACGGACAGACGGACGGAGGGTAAACCTAAAGTCCCCTCCGGTAAACCGGTAGGGGACTAAAAACAGATGTAAGTGGTGTCAAAAATAAACAGGTATACCAATATACTTGAAAGCAGTGTCAGCCAATACATAATTTGGGACAAAAGCCTCATACCCAAGTATTTTTTCTCAAATATTTCATCAAAATATACAATGGTGTATTTTCACTACTTCAAGCACTCACAACCTTGTCAATGTACACCTTTATTTCTATTGCTTGAGAAAGACATATGAGTGTTGTAAACATCATCCTTTCAAACATATTTTAATACAAGTGTTAAATGTATTTCGTAGAGATTTTCACATTTCAAACAGAGCTTCAGTTTAAGTTTATATTGTTTTTCAAAACAATCAACACAATGCTACGTGGATTGCAATAAGGTTTAATGCAAAACTTGTAATACAGGTTTGACTACAAGTATCAATACTGCAATAATTGCAATACAAAATTAGCTATAATCATTCTTATTGCAATAAAACCTATACAGGTTTAGCTATAATTATTTTTATTGTAATATTTGCAATACATGTTTAACTATAATAATGGCTATTGCAAAATTGGCAATAAAAGTTTAATGGTAATTATGGTTATTGCAATATTACCAATACAGGTTTAACTATAATTATTCTTATTGCAATATTTGCAATACATGTTTGACCATAATTATGGTTATTGCTAAACTTGCATTACAGGTTTGACTATACTAGTAATTATGGTTATTGCAATATTACCAATACAGGTTTAACTATAATCATTCTTACTGCAATATTTGCAATTCAGGTTTAACTGTAACTATTCTTATTGCAATATTTGCAATACATGTTTGACCACAATTATGGCTATTGCAAAATTTGCAATAAAGGTTTAATGATAATTATGGTTATTGCAATAATTGCAATACATGCTTAACTATAATCATTCTTACTGCAATATTTGCAATACAGGTTTAACTATAACTATTCTTATTGCAATATTTGCAATACAGGTTTGACCACAATTATGGTAATTGCAATAATTGCAATATAGGTGTGACCATAATTAATGTTTCACCAGTATTGATAATACAGATAAATTAAACATAAACAATCACAACCACCACCATAAAACCTATCACTATCACTTACCTCTGGGTCAAGAAACACATGGCAATCAGCACGCTCCCCATCTCTTCCTGCACGTCCTATTTCCTGAACGTAACTCTCGAAACTTTTCGGCATATTATAATGAATAACACCTCTGACATCAGATTTATCAAGTCCCATTCCAAATGCCACTGTAGCTACAACAACACGTAATTTTCCCGACATGAAATTATTTTGAACGCGTTTCCTCTGGGCTGGCGTAAGACCCGCATGGTAACTCTCGGCGTCCCATTCTAATTTCGGTCGTTTTGAACGTCCTTTGGTGACTACCTCAGTTGGAGCACCAGTATTCATACATGTTCTTATGATTGTGGCCACTTTGTCTGTCTGGTCACGGCGAGTACAGTAAATAATGATTGAATCCAGCTTTCCAAATCTTTCCCCCTTCAGCAAACCAACCAAAGCCTAAGATATACAAACATATTTTTCATGTATTACCGGTAAACATTGCAATAAAAAATTAAATCATTACTCTACAAAAAATTGTTTTCGTTGATCATAATTTCATGTCAAAAGTGGCCAGGCCAAAAATTTTCATGTTTGTTTGTTTTGTTGGATTTGACATCAAACCGACACAGTCACACTATAAAGGTCATAACATTACTAAGTTACCAGGTTTATTGGTACAGAAAGACTATTGATGCCTCTTTGAGCATTATTTCTGGCACAAGCGGGCACCTTGTGTAAAGAAAAGTCTCTGACAGGATTCGAACCCACATTAACAAGAGGCAAGTGATTTGAATTTGTCTACCATAACCAAATGGCCAACTGACTTTTTAAAGAAGAAAAACCTATATGCTCCCTTATTATTTCAGGTACATTACATGTAACAAGAAAGCATCATCAAGGTCAAGCTAAAGTCAAATCAATAAGTCAATTGGATTGTTTTGTCAGATAAAAATTACAATGAGACTGATTCATTGACAAATTTATATATCCCAACCCCCTTAGTAGTGGGGGCATAAAGATGCAATACATATTTAATTAAACTGGTAGTATCTAGAAATAAAACTCACAAAAGAGGGCTTTTAATTCTAAAAGGGACTTCACTGAGGTTTTCTCACATTTCTGACTGATGTAAGTCTGGACCAATAACTTGTGTGCAAAATTTCAGGTCATTCCCTTGCCAAGTTTTTCCAGTATAATCATTTTGATAGTGTAAATGACCGAAATATGAATACAAAGTTTTTCACTCAAATCTGGCTAAGAAAAGCACAAAAAATCAATTTAAATTAATATTCTGTATATACTTCTTTGTTATCCCTTGCAGAGTTATTCATTTTATGTGTTTCACTTGATGTCTTTAAGATTTTAAATTTTGCGATTTGTTTCTAATATAAAGAATATGCAATGCACATTTCACTCATAAATAAAAGTATTTAATGCACACTATCCAGAAAAACAGAAGGGAAAAACAATTAATTCAATCTGCAAGCTGTGTAACCTTATTCCAGCTGCAAAATTATTTTAATATGCTTTTATTTTCTATCATTTCTTCAATAAAATATTTCATTGCATTGTGCAATTGTGTCTGAAAGCTATTATTGCTATCATTTCAGTATATTAAACAACCCTGCTGATTCTTCCAGTCTAATATTTCACCAAAACAGGGCATTAATGTCAATCACAAAAGCTTGTTTTCTGATTTTAACTTAAAATGCTCCTCTTATGTAAGAGCAATGATTTCTAATAAATTATTTAGCAGTAAAACAAACTGATGCTCCAAAAACATGAAGTTAATATTGTACAGACAAAATCCATTGTTAAATTGAAACAAACAAGAAAACCATGTTGTAAACAACCACATTTCCTGGGAGGGGCAAAGGATCATGGCCATCCACAAAGTGAATGGTTAGTAAATGCCATGAATTTTTCGGTACTGTAAAAGCCTGGGATAATAAAGAGAAAACAATTTTGAGTCTCAGTGATTTTTAACTTGATGCAATTTCAGTTAGTGAAAGCATGATTAAGAATGTACATAAATCTATTTATGACCAAATTGACATAAAACAAGCCCGAAGCTAGAGGTTGATGCAAGACCCCCTTATACCAAATATCAAGATATTGGAAAATTAATGACAGCAAAATTGGGTTTAAAGTAGCAAGAGGCCTAAAATGGTCCTTAAAAGCTAACCTGAGGATATGGTTTGCATGGACAAGGTTTTATTATAAAGAAAATTCTATTAGCCTGACAACTAATGACATACACTGTTACAAGAACTCACCTTAAGCATGTTGTGCATAGGTGAGCTAAAACAATACATTTTAGTCTCAATACTTTTGACCAATTAACCTGAAACACTAACAAAAGGTAAATGTTCATGGGCGAAACCAAAACACACCAAGCACCTAGATTTAGGTCAATAAATGTACTGTAAGGAAAGATAGAAAGGTTGCATGCTCCATCAAACATTCTGAGACTGGAATTGCAATAAAACTGAATATTTAAGTACATGCCGAAGGACATATTGTGTCTAATTATCAAGACGTTTTGGCCATAGATAGATATACAGACAGTCTGACAAGACTCTATTCTGTTTCTAGCCAAAATATTTTAAAAATTAACTTCCTTAAACTTTGTATAAACTGTTCCAAATTCAAAGCTATAAATATTATATAATACAAATTCAGCAGGTGAAGGGTGAATGCAAAGTTTAGACCCCATCTCATGAGGCAGACCTAGAGGTGAGTAAATATGAAAACAAAGAAATACAATGTAACTTGTTTATATTACATACAGGGTTTGCATTTTTATGTGAGGCAACAGATGTGCCAATGAAAACAACAGATTTGGCCAAGGGTCAAAGGAGAAATTTTAATCTACAGGCTGAAAATATCATCAACTTTAACAGCCTTTCCACAGATAATATGGATCGCCAATCTATTAATTATGAAAACCCTGTCTGTACATACATGTTCCCTATCCTCATCTCTAGAGACAGATAGAATCAGGTTTTTAGGAATTGGTGAACCTCTAACAGTGGCTTTCCTGAAGTCTGAAATCTTTAAATGACGGGCAACATCCGAAGCTGTCGACAGAGTAGCTGTTGCTGTCAATCCGAGAAAATTTTGTACACCAAGCTTCTCCTGTAAAACCTACGACAAAAGGAAATTTTATGTCAGAGCTATAATTTCAAACATTTTTCTTTGAAATGTTCATATGTACTCTATATATTTAAATAATTTAAAGATGAAATGTTTATATCTGAACCATAAATTCAAATCATGCAGATAAAATGTTCATATCGGAACTGTCATGTAGATAAAATGTTCATATCGGAACTGTCATGTAGATAAAATGTTCATATCTGAACTGTCAGTAAAATATATCATAGGTAAAA